AAAAATAGAAAACCCAAACAGGCCCATTATATGCAAGGAAATTGAAACATTAATCAAAAGCATCCCAAAAAACAAAAGCTCAGGACCAGATGGTTAGTTCAACAAACTTTCAAAAAGGAACTAATAACTTATCCTTCTCAAACTCTTCCAAATATTTGAAAAAAGGGGAAGTGCTTCCAAATGCATTTTATAAGGCCAACATCACTCCAATACCAGAAGACAAAGACATCACAAAAAGAGAACACTAAGAACACTAAAGAGCAGTATCTCTTATGAACACAGATTCAAAAATTCTCAACAAAATCTTAGCAAACCAGACTCAACAATATATTAAAAGGATCATGTATCATGACCAAGTGGGAAATTTTCCAGGGATGGAAGGATGGTTCATCACATAAAAATTAATCAATATAATCCAACACATCAACAAAAGGAAAGATAAAGATTAAGATCTTATCCACAGACGCAGAGAAATAATTTGATAGGATTCAACATCCATCTGATAAAAGCTCTCCAAAAATCAGGATAGATATTCCCAACATAATAATAAAGGCCACATTTGACAACCCATGGTGAGTATCATATTCAATGATAAGAAACTACAAGTTGCTTCTCTACTATCAGGTATAGGACAAAGGTGTCCACTCTCATTTCTTCTATTTAACACAGTGTAGAATTACTAAATAGAGTAATCAGGCTATAAAAATATATAAAAGAAATCTGAGTTGGGAAGGAAAAAATAAAACTGAAGATGACATAACAATATAGATAGAAAACCCTAAAGACGTCACTAAAAATTTTAAAATAAGTCAGTATAGTGGAGTGGCAGGCTATAAAATCAATATACAAATATTAGTTGTATTTCTATATGCAAATAATAAACTTGGAAAAAAAACAAAAAAAATCCATTTACAATAATATAAAAAATTAAAAACTTAAGATTAACTTAATAAAGTAGACAAAACATCCATACAACAGAAGCTATAAGACTTAGTAAAAGAAAAAAAAAAGGCATAAGAAAATGGACCAGTTCGTCCTTGCTCATGAATTGAAAGAATTAGCAGCTAAAATGACCAACTTATAAAAGCAAAATAGAGGCTCAATATAATAATCCCTATTCAAGATGTGGCATATGTGGCACAATGAAATATTACTCAGCTATTTAAAAAATATGAAGTCTTGTCATTTGTGACCACATCATGGCACTGGAGGAAAATTATGCTGAACAAAATAAGTCAGAAGGAAAAAAGACAAACACTAAATGACTTCACTCATGTGGAATATGAAACAAAAGAATAGAGAACCAAACCAACACACAACAGAACTCTAACTAGAACTGAGGCCATCACTGCCGAGAGTGGGCTGGGCAGCACAGCAGAAAGGGCCCCACAGACTCCAGGAGAAGATTCCTGATGCTTTGGGGAGGGCATGATGTGCTTACACAATTTAAGTGGTATGAATCTGTATCTCTAGTTGACATATAGTGTTTTAGACCAAAGTTGCTTTAATGAAAAATAATATAATAAAAAAATGAACACAGAGACCCTGGATGGTATCTTGTCAGTTGTTAACCAGCCAACTCACAAAGCAATTTGGCTGACATACAAAGCAGTTGCAGAAACAAAATCAAGCTGGTAATGCCCAACAGCATAAACACCAGGGGGCGCCCAAGTACCACTCAAATGGGATAAGAGTGACAACCCAGAGGTTGGGGGGGGGTTCACTGGTCGCCCCACAGGCACTATGCTCTGCCTTGTATTTGTTATCTCATTTATTGAATGAGAAAGACGCTAAGATGGTTTCTGTTTTAGAGGTGAGGACAGTGAAGTGCCAGAGGTGAAACAACCCAATATCACAGAACCGAGACTTGTCAGAGCAGAATTTCAACAGCTCCAGAGCCCATATTCTCATGCACTGTTCAGTGTTGTTCCAGCCACTGACATTTCACATGAGTGTCCAACTCAGGCTGTTGAGTAAAAATCTCTCGACTCCACATGTGCTCAGGTATCCTGGATCCAGACCACATGGTTCAATCAATTCTCTTCTCCTTTGAGCTTCAGCTTTGACTTCCCATGTTTCTGCCTATAACTGTTCCATCAATACTCTAATTAATGCCCTACACACTGACTGGCAAGGTCTGGTGGAATTGTCCTTTGTATCAAATGTGTCTATCTTGTTTCATCCTACTGAACTAGGCATCTTGCCAGAGTGCAGTGGTGCTGAGCCTACTGCCAAGGTCCAACCTTGCTGAATATCTATCAGCACTAGCATATTTCAGGAGTACTGAGGTTATGTCTTTGCGCCCTGTGTCTGGGCTGTAAATAACTGAAGCCCTCAAGACTTTCACATCACAATTACCTTGGCAGACTCTAGCTACTTGCCAACCACTAATGAATGGATTGACAGGGGGGATTAAATTATTTTCAATCACAGAAGCAGATATGGGAATATAAATACAAAGAATAGTCCAACTTTATTCCAGACACAGCTAAGAGCTACAGGAGTCACAGAGAGGAAGCAGTCATAGTTTCTACTCTTAAAGAGATAACAGAGGACATCTTTGCATTATATTATTTATTTTTTAAGACTGATTTATTTATGCATACTGGGATACAGGCCAGAGGTGCAGGGGCAGTGTGAGGATTCACAAGAGACAGAGTGGGAAGCAGAACAGGCAGATTGACAAAGTACACTGCTGAGAGGAGCAGTGGGTGAGACGGGAGAGGTCTGCTGCACCATGTGGGTCAGCTCCCTGGTCGGGGAGCAAACTCGTGCTGAAGTGGCTGTGGCTAGCTTCCTAGTGCTGTGCTTTAACCTGGTGCACTGCCAGAGAGCGCCCTGCATTATATTATTATGTATGTGTAATAATTTTATGGGAGCACAGAGCAGGAAAATTACTTGTCCAGCCTGATTCTAACAATTAGGACAGGCTTCTGCACAGCTGGAAGCCAGGAGACCCAAGTCCAAATCCTTCGCTGTAACCACCGACTGTATTATGTCCAGCACACTCTGAAGCACAAGCTCAGGCCCTCGCCAGGCACTAAGGGCTATTGGAAGTCAGGCAAACATTTGAAATCTATCCCAAGGTTTGGTAGCCTTTGTTTTTCCACATTTTTCTTTGCACATGTGTTCTGGTGTCAGACCCAGGTGAATAAGAGAGGCGGTGGGCAATGGGCGAATGAAGTCATGCCCCTACAAGTTATATTCACATATCCTGAAAATAACAGTGGAATTAATAATGCTGGGGAATTCAGTTCTCAGGGAAAAGCCAAACCTCCATCACATCTTCCTCATAACCTGCTTGCTTTTGCACAGTGCCCACAAGGTAAAATGGACAGAAGTGAATGGTGGGGTGTCAATTCCAGGATTGTTTTCAGTTTTAAGAGTATGATATGAAAGATCCATAGGTGTTGTCTTCCACTTCTTCCAGTGGCCACAGAAAGACTGAGAAGAGCCGTTCCCAGATGGTCCAGGTCTGGCTATCTCTTTTCTGTTGGGGAGGCCTTTGAGTCCCCCACTCCTGCCTTCTTACTGCCCAACTTAGAGCAGGAAGACAAAGCACACCAAGGAAGTTGTGGGGCTGGTAGCACCTCCACACGTCACTCAGAGTTCAGTGAAAGGGCAACACTTCTCTGTGTGCCTCCAGAGGCTGGCACCTCGTTCTGTCTCAATCATAGATGCGCTCCTGTGCTCTCCTATGCTCAGGGCTAATATATTTATCTGGACAGCTCCAGATGGCAGGAGCAGGCGACTGATCCATTGCTTCTCCTCCATCCCAGCAGGCCACAGGTTTCAAAGTGGGATCAGCACATATGCAGTGCTGTCTCCCCTGAGACTGAAGTGTCACCTCTGATGAATCAATCACTGCCCCATTTGGCAAGGAGGAGCTGCAAGGGAGTTCGGACAGCCCAAGGAGGGCTACCTGCTTGAAGGTCCATCTCCTCTTGAAACTGACTGTACTGTGGCTCCCTCTCTGCCAGAGTCAGTGATGGGTGTCCCCTCCCCTCCCATCCAGCCTTTATTTCAGGGTGCCTGTACCAAACTCTCTGAAAACATCCAGTTGACCCTCAATTTCCATTTACAATTGGATATACTTTTGGGTTACATCTGGTCAATATCACAAAGTGTGTGGAAGGAGAGTGAAATATTAGTTTTTATATATATAATCTTGACATTTTGTGGTGGCCATAGAAAGCCTGATGACATGACTTATCTCCATGCCTGCTTCCCACAGCAAACCAGTAGGGAGAAGCCTCTATCTCAGAGCCCAGCTCCTAACCAGCCCGCTCTACCCTAGTATTTCAGTTCTCAGAGCAAAGCTCCGGGAGTCCCCAAGGAGACAGTATAAAGAGAAAATGATAGATTATTTCACCCAAAAGAATATTTGCACAAAGCTGTCTGTTAACAGTCAGAAATATGGTCATTTATTTATCAGTTGTAGTAAAGGAAAAAGACATGACCGATAGATTAAGTCAGAAAGGGCTTTCTAATCACGAAACAGACATTCACCAATGGCCACTGTTTTAAATCTGTTTTCTAAGTTCAGTCTTCTCAAACAACATCCTTGCCTGCAGCCCGCCTCACCACTCCTCTGCAGGCCACCTGCATCCTGGATTGACAAGTGAGCTCAATCCATGTGGGGCCCAACACTGACAGTGCTCAGAAACCCCAGAGGTGACAGAGTTGTCTGGAAATCTCATGCCTGAATGAAGGTCAAGTTCTGCCCAAAGAAAACCATGTAGTATATGATTGCAAGGACTTGCTATTCCTCAAACTTAAGTCCCCCTTTGCAACATAAGAGGGTAAGGAGGCCCAGTCTATAAAGCTATTTGGGTGAGAAGCATGCAATTAACAAGCCTGGCTGATTTTTGTTTGTTTTTACAGAGAAGTACTTGGAGGTTAACGCCCTTTCCCCTCCACTGAGGCCAGACCACCTAGTTAGGAACTCAAGCCATCTGCCAGTCTGGGATGTGTGCTGGGTGCAGGGAGGAGCCTATTACCTGCTGGACGTCCTGCTGGAAGACACAGAGTTGCAGCCGCTGGTGAAGCCGCACCTTGCGGTGCTGCCAGATGCTCTCAAGTCGCCGCTGGTGGTGCAGCACCTCGTGTACCACGTCTAGCACCTGGTGCACTGCTTTGGAGTAGTTGGCTGTGGCCGTGAGGGACTCAGAGTTCCCAGGACTCAGAGGTCGCTGCAGCACATCCAGGAGAGCTTTGCCATCCTGGCTGACCTGTGAGAAGGAACCATCAGATCAAGGGAGAATGTATGCCAGTGAGCAAACCAACTTATTTGTGTATGTCCACACAGATGCACCTATATACACCCCTTGCATTTTACCTTGAAAGGAATGTCAAGAAGGTTTTCCCCCTTTGTAAGCTTGTACCCTGTCCTGGCCTTAGATTTTTCAGCACATAAATCTTTAAGTTTGTCTTCCTTTCTATGGCCACAGCTCAATCCTACAAACACTCATCACCAGCTTAGTAGGGGTTCTTCTGGAATGTCTAGTAAGAAAATTGATATTTTTTGATGAACCGCTTTACAAATTGGTGGTAAATCTCATGTACACATGTCTGATCAACAGCCAGAGAGCAAACTGCAGGGAAGCACAGCTTTGCTTTCTTCTATTCCTCCCCTAGAGTAGTCCAGTCTTCACACACGATGAACTGGGCATGTGCCCGTGTGTGCATGCACACTAAATACAACAGTGTTGGCTCATGGCTCCATTACTTGTGCTTTCTGGTCAGAGACACCAGCATTCATAGGTCAAGGACCTCAAAGATTCTACTTTCAAGGAGAAAAATGACTTATTTTCTTAGTCCAACCCAGGTTGCCACACAGTATCCAGTGCTCTTGCCACCCACTGGCATGCAGACATATCCAGAGCTTGAGTCTCACCTCTGTGTAGGCCTGTGTCACCTGCTCATACAAGGACTGATGGTGGTGGATCGCCAGCTCCAGGTCCTGCATCTCAGATGGAAGGCCACCTTCGCTGCACATCTTGCACCAGGCGTCCACTCCTGACAGGAACTGGAAGGAGATACTGATTGGATCAGCATGGGAGCACGGGGAGGGGGTGAGCAATGAGCAGAGGACTAGACATGGGGAGATGCACTGGGGCCTCTTCAGACAGGGTGGTGCCTCCACTCCAGAGTGTGGAGTGTTTTTCTTTAAATCTATAAACTAATCCAGAGACCATTACTGGTCTAGGAAGTGTGCTTTCCTACATATCAACTATAAAATACAGGTGTAGAAGCGGTTCCCTGCATTATGTGGATACATGAGACCTGTTCTTCCCATGCACAACCACCATCACACATGAGGGACTGCACAGAACGGAACCGGATATATAGAGCACATGTGTACTTAATGGTGGAATGTAGTGAGGAACACTACATATAGGACTGTCAGGAATCCCATAGAACTTGCAGAGGCCCCTGCCACAGGGGATGGAGATTAGTGTTCAACAATGTCAGGACCTCTTGGTAAGAGAGGTGAGTAGGCAGTTGAAGGGTCTAGGCTGAACCTACAGCGACAGTGGCTTGCAGAACATGACATATAGATCTTGACAAACATCAAATTATTAAAACTAAAATTAACAACTATTGGAGACTATACTACAAAAAGGATGAGCTAACTGAAATCACTCAAATTTATTAGGTGGAAAAATACACCTTTAAAATGCAAATAATTCTTCACCCAACAGTCTGGAATGGTTCTGTCTGTGATTCCTCTTGCTTGGATGCACAGCTCCATTTAAATTAATTGCCTAAATACCACTTTATCTCATTGCCTAGAACAGCCCACCTGAGGATAATAAAGAACTGCCTAAATAAATGCATTGAAAGAATAGTCCTTTATCCATTGTTCAGTGTTTTTTTCTTTCCAGCTAAAAGAAGCATGGTTTATGAATTTCCCTGACGGACAGTAATACCTGGGGAAATTGAATTAAAAAATAGAAACAAATAAAATTGCATCTGATCCAAACTAATACAAATCAGGAAACATCAACTAGAAGTTGACTCATCCAGTTACTCTCAGTTTTGGCACTATGCTCTCTTCAATTGCTTGAGTTCTAGTCTTGCTATCACTGTTAGCATTCAGTCCCTGGCTAACTGATGCCTGTGGTTGATTTTTCATCCTGTATATATATACTTTTTTAAAAAAGATTATTTATTTATTCATACAAACTGGGCTAGAGGTGCAGGTGCAGTAAGAGGATTCACCAGAGACAGCGTGAAGAACAGAACAGGCAGATCAATGAAGTACACTGCTGAGGGGAGCATTGGGCAGATCAGGAGAGGTCTGTGGCACCATGTGGATCACCTCCAGGGCAGGGATTGAAATCATGCTGAAGTGGCTTTAGCTTCTTAGTGCTGTGTGCTTTAACCCACTGCACCACCAGTGGGTTACATATATAGGGAGGGACCTATATATTTTTTAAGTCATACATGAAGTTATCTCTTAACAATTCTGAGAGAGTTTTGGGTGCCATCGTCTATCAGATGTCATGTACTTGCTAATATCTCAGAAATGTCTTTGTTCCACCATTATAAAAGAACCTGAAAATAACTTTACACTTACATGACAGTTATGGAGGGAGCACATCTTTAAGGCCCTGGGATGTCTCTGTACTATTCTATAAAGAATCCTATACCAATTTCCACAAGATGGTCAGTTCAAGGAGAGAAAGGTGACAGAGATGGAAGGATTGAGTATCCACTGCCATGCTTGGCAGGTTTATCCAGATAAATCTTAAATAAAAAGTTTGGTAGGGTTAAAGATACAATAGATGAGACATGAATATTTGTATGGTCTTAAGAATGAACTAGTCACTATTAATTTCTTCCACTTTAGACTAGAAGAAAAAGCATGATTCAATCTCTTTCATGATAATCGGTTTGCCCTGATTTGTGACATAAGTATTTAAGTTTTGGGGAAGGGCTCAGGTGGAGAAATACGAAGATACCAGTATGTTAAACAACTATCCCCAGTAGTAATATTTACCACTTAAAAGCACACCAGGTAACTTACATGTCATCTCTACTCTATATAACAGTCCCATCAAATTTATGTTGCCTCTTCATATTAGAGATGAGGAAACAAGCTCAGAATGGTAAGGTGAGTTGTCCATGAGTAAATAAATGGTGCTGGACTTGGATTAGACCCTATGTGTGTTTGATCTTAAAGTCTAGGCCCTTAATTATCCCATGTTTGCCCTCCATGTTAGATGGGTAACAGAGGGGAAGATTTAAGACATCACCTTAAGCCTGACTTTTCACTGTCCGTAAATTACCCAAATGTCACACAAAGAAAGAAACTTAGCAGTTAAGACCATAGGCTTTGATATTAGCAAGACCTGGGTTAAGGTCCCAGCAGTCCAGAGATTGTGTGGTTTTTTTTACAGTGGTATGTTAGTAAATGTTTAACAACTAGCATGTATTTGTATATGTGTGTATGTATGTGTTTGCACACAGGAGTCTATATAAACCTTATTGATATAATGGAGCTACAGCACATAGTTTAAAAAGAATAACATATACAATATCCTTATTATAAATTCTACATAGCAAACTGGTCCTCATGGTATGCTTCTGCTTCTGAATGACAAATTTAATTCCAGCTCAAAAGCTGATCTCTTAATTTATGTTGAGGTATAAAACAAAAGTGAAAAAATATCTGAAGATTTATGTTAGAACCTAATTCATTCATCAGCATGTAATTTTTACTGAGTACAATAATAGTTTTGAATACCAAAAGAATGCTTCCTCAATTTTGTGTGCCATTCACAAAGTAACAGTGACAGCAGGGCACGTTATTAAATTTAGTCTGCATTTTCAATATTTTCTCCATCAGTTTCTTAAGGCTTAAGCCTTTGATGATTTTCATGGTATAAAACATTTAGCTTGGTCTCTTTCTACCTACTAATGTACACCATGCAGAATGTGGAGCTGGAAAGAGATAATCAGTAGCATTCAACTCTATCATATTTCTGTAAGCAGCTATAAATAACCAAGAGCATAAATAATTGTAAAATATATAAAAATAACTGGGAGTGGTGAGATTATTTATTACTTTTGTTTTTGATATATCCAATGTAAACATATAATTTAAAATAATGACGGTTTAATAACAAGCTCCACAAAATTCCTATAATTTAATAATTGGTTCTCCCCGATCTGGCTAGAGCCAGCTCTAACACACCATCAGATCTTAGGCAGATCACTGATCTCTCTCAGCCTCAGTCCTCTTCTCTGTAAAATGGGTTAGAAATGTCCCCGGTCAATGCCAGTAAGAAAATGGCAACAATTATTACTTTTATCCACTGTATTATCATCCCATTATCAGTACCCACAGCAATCACTGCATATAAAATTAGTTTCCTCCTTCTCTCAGTACTCAGTGATCACTTTATTCTAACCCCCTTGATTTATTTTCAGGGAATGCAACAAAGCAGATAGCCAACACACACACAGGCTCTAGGTTCTTTTTTGTGTGGATGTTAAATAGACCCACCAAGGATTACCAATTTTTTTAATGAACATAGGGGCCATGAAAGGGGTAGAACACGCGTTAAAGCTGCAAGCATGCAGCAGAGTCTTTAGTGTTTGAAAGAGAGTGGGGCACTCCACAATGTCAGTGTATTACACCACCCACCCTTCTCCCTCTTTTCTTCCCACCGCCAGCAGCTCCCTTGACTTCACCTGCTCAGCCTTCTGGTGGAACACCGCAGACATGGCGAGGATGGTGCTGCGTTCATCCAGGGCAGCTGCAAAGCTCTTCCACTCCTGGTCCAGCTGCGTGGAAATCTGCTTGATTTGTTGTGAGGCATAATGGCCAGCCTCAGAGAGGCGGGAAGCCACGGACATGATGCGGTTGATGTTGACATAGGCGTTCTGGAAGCAAAGGAGGATAAACACTCCATGAGGTAAGCTGAAAGGCATCCACTTCTGGATATTTGGGAAGGAGGCTACCCAAAACAGTCTATGAGAGAGGGTGGTGTGGGCCACATGGTATAGCCATTTTTGTTACAAGGGGTAGCTTTGCCTGTGAATAACATTTCAAATGAGAGCAGCATAGTAAAAAAGATCTTTCATTCTGGGACCAGCATAGTATTAATACACATGAATGCAGTCACTTTATATGGATTCCCCTATATAATCATTACTATCATATTAGGAGGTCCTACGACAGGGATAGCAAGATACTTTCAAGTGTTACTTTCTGGAAGCAGTGGCATAGACTAAAGCAAATGCCAAAAAAGACAGAGGCTCTTTTCTTGTTCAGGAGACAGGTGGACCCGAGGCATTACTACTATCTGCCACAGGACAGATATGCTCATCAAAGAGGACAAAGATCATGTGTCACATGATAATCATACACCTTACTATCACCCAGAGAAATCTCTGCCTTTCCCTTACTTCTTCCCCCACCAGAAGGGATGAGGCACTGACCATCAGTCAGGATTTAAATAGAGAGAGGGTCTATGAAGCTGTATTTTCCACACTGAAAATCAGATCTGTGAAATCCTTTCTTATTGACCTGACTTATGAGCACTTCCCCATCTGATCCCAAATAGTATCTAAGGGGGTTTCCTAGACACAATAACTCCTTTCATCTTGTGCTTTGTTTATATTCACTCCCATCTTTGGTTACCCATTAAAATTTCATGACATGTATGTTGTTCCCTACTGGGCCAGCAGAAACCTTCCAGGGAGGAACAAGACGGAAAAAAAAAAAAACCCACAAATATAAGACAGTAGTGAGCATGATTAATTTTAACAGCCATCACCTATTAATTGTCTGAGGTGTCAAAACAATCAAGTAATATTGTGGCACCTACAGAGAGCTTTTCTGAATCATACAATGTCTTCCTGAGGAAGACTAACGCTGCAGGTTGCTTGCACACTTTCCTTCTTTGTCACAAATGTTCTCAAATTATAATAACTATTCTTTAGCAAAAGCATTTTTCTTGGTTTTATTAGCTCAGAGGTAGTTCATTAATATTGGGTAAGCTTAATGAAGGTTCTTTATTTTCCTTTCCCTCTTCCCACAGGATCCCATTCATCTTAGCTGTCCCTGGCCTCAAGCACTCCATCCCAAACCTGAGTCAGGTTGATAAGGTCTCTCTTCATTTTAAAGGTCTCTGTGGACATTTAAAAGGTTAAGTGAAGAGCTTGAACACAAATCCATCCTGATGTCTAATGACCCCTGTGTGTAATCTCTTTCTTTAGTCTGGCCTGAGACCCTTCTGACGTCGTGTATTTCCTTTCTAGAGCTAGAATATTACCAATACCAGTTATTTGAAAAAATATCCATCAACTATTTGAGAATCATTATCAACCTTACTTTCTGAGTTAGGAAAAAATTCTACTTAAAAGTAAACTATTTTAGAACCGACAGGAAAAGCAACTCTCCACTTAGAAAGAGAGGGGTGTGGGCCCTCCCTGGTGGCACAGTGGGTTAAAGCACTGCACTAAGAAGCTTGAGCCACTTCCACATGAGTTCGATCCCTCCCCGGCCTGCCCCGGAGGAGATCCACATGGCTTGGCAGACCTCTCCTGATCCACCCGCTACTCCCCTCAGCAGTGTACTTCGTCGATCTGCCTGTTCTGCTCCCCACTCTGTCTCTGGTGAATCCTCTCACCCTCCACATCTCTGGCCTGTACCCCAGTTCTGTATGAATAAATAAATAAATCTTTTAAAAAAAAAGAAATAGAGGGGTGTGTACTGATTTTAACAGTTCCATCTTCCAAGGTCATAATATTTACATCTCTCCAAATTTCTTGCCTATGTTGTTATTTTAGTTTGGGCTCCTCCCAAAGAAGATCTTGAAATAAGGATTTGGTCAGATAATCTGTTTGGGTGTGATCCTAGATAGCATGGTAAGAGGCTGCCCCCAGCCTTCAAGAAGGAATAGGAGGAAAATAAAGGATGTGTTAATTATTAGTTGGTTAATGCTATGGTTAACTGGGGGTTGATCTCTCCTCAGACTTTCAGAGATTGTGTAGAACATACCTCCCAGCTGCCTTATGGGAGATGAAGAGTCTGAGGTATTTATATACTAAGTCTCTCCTAGAGTCACTCACTGGTGTTTTCAGTCTGACCTACACACAGGCCAAGCACAGTCCCTAAGTCAAACAGTGACCATGGGCAGAGAAATGCAGGAAGCTGTCAGTGTGTGTGGGAACCATCTGTAAATGATCCGCAGCGTCCAGATTTACCTGGGGTCAGTAAGTTTTCTTGTTCTGGGAAAGACCTTTGTATGCTCTGTCCAGATAGGAAGAAAAGCAATGAGAGAAGAGTATGAGTCTGTCCTCAGGGCCCCTCATGAACACCATAAAGATGCTAGCTACCTGCCATCTAAGCCTCTAGTCTCTCCTACAGAGAAAACAGGGAGGAATATTTCTGCTCACTTTAGGAAGAACTTTCTAGTTATTAGAGATGTCTATCGCTAGCTCTCTCTGGAGGCTGTTAGCACCTTGTCACTCATTCAAGAATTTATGGCGTATGGGTCAGGCTCTGTGTGAGGGACCTTGGGAGATGAAAGAGGAACAAGACGGGATTCCTGTCCTCAGAGGCTAACAGCTGAGACTTAAGAAAAGCCCTCAAATAACTGCAAGTTAAAACAAAATGAAGGATGTATTTCAAAGGACAGGGTCAACTTGCCATGGGGATTCAGACAGAAGGATCTGAACCAAACGGCAGGGGTATCAGGAAGGGGCTTCAAGCACAGAAGGGGGGGAACATGTCCCAAGGCCCTTTTGACCCTTAAGCCTCTGATCATAAATGAAAGCTAAAAACAAATAAACAAAAGACCACAGCTTACATTTCACATTCTAGAGACTAGCACAGTAAGTGCTATATTGTTTCCTTATCAGTGGGCAGAAAAATGTCTCACTAAACCTAACAAATGATTATATTTAACAAAAGAGTTAGAGGCAGTATCCTCACAATGGAGGGATAAATATAATGTTGACTCATGAATTTGCTCATATTCTTTGCAACAACCCCTTTTCAAAACAGCAAAGCACTGTAGGCAAGTCACATTGCCTAAGCTCATCATTAGCTTCGTTTGCCATTAGCCTGGAACCTGAGATAAATGGGCATATAGATTCTAAACTGTAGCCACAAACCAAAGGAAAAGAGAAATGGCAAAGAGGGTCACACATGACTTAAAAGAGGTTAAAGGGGTTAAAAAGGACTTAAAAGGTTAAAGAGTTGAATAAAGAATCCAAATAAATAGGGGTGCTTAGTCGTTAGGCACAAATGACATTTCATGGCTTTTGGTCAGTGCATCCATGCGGTCCTTTTGTGACACCGTTTATGTCTCTATTAAGAAGCATTTGGGAGTCATGTCTGTCCTGAGGACATGGCCAGTGGGAATGAATATTTTGATTCTTTATGGCTTATCCTTTTCCTACCAGCTGCCCCTCTTCTCCGCCCATCTGCCCAGCTGAGGCTGTGATGTTCTTCCTGCCAGCCTGAAATGCCCTCCATGTGCAGAGCTAGAGCTGTCCATCAGTCTGGCCACCAATGCCACTGGGCCAGGAATCAGGAGACATGGGATGTGGTCCACCTCTGATACTCACTGAGGAAGTCACTTGCCTCCTCAGCGCCTCAGTTTCTTCATTTGTGAAATGAGGTAGTCGAATAACATGATGCCAGACATTCCATTTCTGAATAAGCAGTCAGCTCTGTAACTTAGGCATCTAGGTATAGTCTCTGTTTATGGAGGGGGCCCAGATTTACTGTGGAGAGAACTTTTCTTCAGTGCCTGGGGGAATACTGACCAAATCTATTCCTTGCCAAAACTTCCTTCAGTGGAGGAGGTGGGACGTAGAGACTGAAGAAACAAGGGTAACTCAAGACTTTCAAGGGTCCCTGTGCAGTGGATGGTTTTAAATAAAAGTGTCTGATCTGATTTATGCTTTCAAAAGACTGCTCTGTGTGCTCAGGGATTAACTGGTGGGGGTGGGGCTGTGGCATGCATGGAGTGAGGCCGGGGAGTAGTCGGGCCCATCCCAGGTTCACACACAGCTCAACCTGACTGCTCGTGTGCCCCTGGCTGTGCCCCTGGCCCTCATCTCAGCTCTGCTCTCTGCCCTGTCTTGTGAGGGTCAAGGCTAGAGATGGGGCCTCCCCCTGAGTTCTTCATCCTCCAGGTGCCAAGGGCTCTCTTCTTCCTCTCTTTTTCAGCCCCTGAACTCAGCTGTCTAATTAGCCAGCTCCCCTGGTTAGAAGTTAATAACATGACTAATAATTCTGACTTAATGAGTATCTTCTCAAGCACTTACCTCAAAAATGCATTATTAATCTAAATAGCAGGCTGCTATTCCTTTTCATCTCCTTCATATTTCACACAGCCCAAGCTATACACACCGTCTACCTTACAGGATGCAATTCTTGGGTTGCATCATTTACCCCAATCTTCTTCCCTTTATCTCTTTCCTCCCATCAGTTCAGTCATAAATGGGAAAAAATGACTACATTCCAGAAAAATATCACGAGCTCAAAAACCTTATCTATTTATAGCCTGCTTCCACTTTTGTTGCTATAACATGCTCTGTTTTCTTGTCTCGTTCCTGCAGTCATTAATTGGAGATCATAGGATAGATGGTCTCCTCTCCTGTGGCCCTGTCACCTGCTGTGATTAGCTGAAATCAATGAAGCAGTCACACTCCTGAAAGAACAACTTGGCAGAATCTTGATGAAAGTTTTCATTCCTGCTACAGTCTCACTTTAAACCTGGTTTCTGACTGCCCTGACTGGCTACAAAGACATGCAAAGTTGTTTGTATGATAATAACTTTCCATTTAAAAACCTAGCAAAATTTCCTCTTTAAAGTTTCTTATGTGGTAAAGTAAGAAAGAGATACCAGTTCCTCTTAGAAATA